TTCTTCAAGGCTTGTGATGTGCGATTGAAGAGTTTGGGATGCAATGGTTGGGTCATTATTAACGGATAGGACACATGTATCATCGGCATACGTGGTAATAACAGTGTTAGGATGGGTTGGGATGTCAGCTGTATAAACTGTGTAAAGGATAGGACCAAGGATACTACCTTGAGGAACACCAGCGGACTGGGAAAAGAGGGATGAATAAGCATTATTGTGATTGACTTTTGAGTATCTATCAGTTAGATAGGAACGGATAATGAGGAAGTATGTAGGATGTAGGAATTTACGGAGTTTGTAAAGTAATCCTGGGTGCCAGACTCGATCAAAAGCCTGTTCTACATCGAGAAAGACTCCCGTGCAGTACATTCCGCGCTCTAATGCAGAGGAGACAACATCCACCACACGATGGCATTGCTGGATAGTGGAATGGGATCTGCGGAACCCAAACTGGTGATCTGGGATTATGTGATTAGAATCTAGGATTGGGTACAGGCGTTTTAGGATGAGTTTTTCTAGGACTTTTCCCATGATGGGTAAAAGAGAGATAGGACGGTAAGAGGATGGGTATTCTGGTGGCTTTTTGGGTTTATGTATCATTTTGATAATGGATAGTTTCCAAGGGTCGGGAAAATATGTTGATCGGAGTACAGCATTATATATATATGTAAGGAATAGGATGGCTTTCCGAGGAAGTAGTTTTAGGATCTGGGATGTAATTAGGTCGTGCCCAGGAGCTTTGCGGGAAGGTAACCTGTGAATGATGTTAGATATTTCTGAAGGATGAAAGGCTTTAGGAGGAGGAGTCATTTGGAGTGGGATATCCAGTTCTGCTTCAATACATTCAAGGTGATTTGGGTTAAGAATATCGGGATGTGGATTAAAGGTTTTAAAGAGGTGGTGGGCAAATATTTGGGATTTTTCTTCGTCGGATTTGGACCAGGTTTGGGCTTCAGTGAGTAGTGGATGGTTGCAGTCTTTAAATTTCAGGAGCCTTTTAGTGGTCGTCCATAGTGATTTATCGGTGGGTGTAAGTTTTTCAGTAAAATTTAGTAAATTTTGAATTTTGTATTTTCTTATTTCTGATTTCAGTTTGTTAGTCAGTTGGGTGTAATGCGCTTTATCTGTCGGGTATCTAGTTCGATGCCACTTCGATCTTGCTCTGCGTTTTTCCTTTAATAAGATGCGAATATGCTGTGGCAAGTTAGTATTTTGTGGTTTGTTAATCTTATTGATAAAGGTATTATTATTTATACTGTCTGTTATTGTTGATGTCAGTTTTCCTATGGCACCATTAATGTCTTCTTTTGTCTTTAGCGGAATTTTGAGGTCAAGTTTGTTTTCCAATTCATCACGAAATTTGTCCCAGTTTACTCGTCCAGTGATAAGTTTGGGAGGTGATGGTTTAGGAGCAAAGTCAGAATGTAATGAAAGCACAACCGGACTATGGTCTGAAGAAAGGTCATCAAGGGATTTGATTATAGTTTGGGAGGAGGAAATCTGGGAGGTGATAAATATATCCAGGATATCGGGACGTTTTTTGAGGGATGTTGGCCAATAAGTAGGACTCGTGGGCGAGAGGATTGAATAACTATTAGAAGATGAGAGACGGGAAAGGATGTTACCGCGGGAGTTGGATGTTCGACAACCCCACCGTTGGTGTTTAGCATTGTAATCTCCTCCAGCAATAAAGCGCGATCCGAGGGATTGGAACAACGTATCAAGGAGATTAAAGGAGAGGGAATTACCAGGAGGACAGTATACAGCTGAGACTGTGAAATGGAAAGGGCGAGTTGAAAGGATTAAAGAAGTTGATTGAATGGCGTCAGTTGGAGTGGAAGGAATAAGGGAATGGGGTAAAGATTTATGTATAAGGATGCAAGAACCGGCGTGGGCAGTGTTGTCTGGATGGTCAGATCTATAAGTGATGTAGTCTCGTATGTGAAAATGTGTCCGTTTTGTGAAATGCGTTTCAGTCAGTAGAGCTATATCAATGTGATTGTCATGAAGGAATATGTCAAGTTCGTCACGGTGGTTGTGTAGTCCGTTAGCATTCCATAAAAGGATAGTTAGGGGCTTTGTGCTCATCGAGGGAAATTAAACGGAATTTCGGTCAGGATTCTGGTTAGTAGAGTGATAAGAGGTTTTATGGTGTTTTGGAGGTCCAATAGGAAGGATGATAGAATGGAAGTTAGATCAGATGGATGTTGATTGTGAAGTGGATTTAGGATAGGTTCAGGTGGCGGGTAAGGAGTGTTAACTGAGAGTGGGATTCGTTGTTGTGTACGAGGTGGGACTGGATTCGACGATACTTGTGCTGGGTTTTTTTTCTGGGCATTAGGATGAGATGGGTGCGATTGCTGTGGCGGTAATTTGACTCGTAGAGGTAGATGATGAGGGGGAATTTGCTGACGCGGAGGATGAAATATGAGAGGATTGGGAGTATGAGGTTTAGCTTGGGAGGCCTGAGGCGCCTGGCGTCGAGGCTGCTGCTTCTTGATGGTGGTATGGGTACTAGTTTTGGTAGATTCCTGTTGAGGATGGGCGATTTCAGTTGAAGTAGTTGGTTCTTGTTGTGTTGAATGGGTAGTTTGTTTTGGCAACTCAGGAAAATTTGTAATATCAATTTCTGGTGGCTGGGTGTAAGTTTCTTTATTTAGTTGGCTGCACTTTAAGGCTATGTTATGAGTTCTTAACTTGTAGTATTTTTTATATACTATGCATCCTTTATAGCTTGCAGGATGGTCTTCGCCACAGAGAGCGCATTTAGGAGGCTGGTCTCGAGGGATCTGACAAGTGTTAGATGCGTGTGGCCCGGCACATCTAACGCACCTCGCTTGATGATGGCAATAGGTCTTTGTGTGCCCCAAGTCTTGACACTTGGAGCATTGAACTATGACAGGTTTTTGTCTAGGCTCTTCGAATTTTACTGTGGAATACACAAGCCTCTTAACTTGAAATATGTCAATGTTATTGCTTGCAGGCTCCAAATCAACGAAAAACAGTGGCAATGGATATTTTTGCGTTGGATGTAGGACGCATGCTATATGCCTAACGTTATGTCCTATTTCCTCTAGATCAGATTTGATAACGGATATGGGAGTGGTTGAGTGCAAGCCTCTCAATACCACCCGATATGCCTTTTCTTGTCTCAGTTGGTAACAGTGAAATTCATATTTTTTAGTTGTAAAATAATTTATCAGAGTTTTATAATTTTCTTTAGAGCTCGTGTTAATCTTAATGTCATTAACCCTAGAAAAACAGCGGAAACTGGTTTGTCCGATAAGATTGGCAATTTCTTGAACGAATGATATAAAATTTTCAATTTTAGAGACAAAAATAGGGGGCGGCTCGGGGTCAGTAAAACCTTGAGGTACCGGAGGCTTGTTAGGTGAGTTACTACCAAGATCAAAATTATTGCTGGCTGTGGTATTTGGTGCAGTTGGAGCTGTTTTTGTGGTGTTTGATTTGCTTCTAGTTCTGGGTGGTGATTTATTTTGCTCGGCAGGCTGTTTAGATTTATTTTGTTCAGCTGTCTGTTTAGACTTCGCTGACTTATTTTTCTTCTTGTTAGGCGAATTGCCACCTGACCCAGGGGCAGAGTTTCTGTGACGTTTCTGAAGCGAGCGTCTTTTCAGATATTGCGAATCAGTTTCGCTAACCTCGGAAAATGGTGTCTCGTCCTCTGAATCTTCACAGGAAGATTTCTCGTCCAAATTCATATCTTCCATTATGATAAGAAGAGAAAAGAAAGAAAAAAAAAATATATATATATACCTAAATATTAAAACTACAAAATAAGAATTTACGATCTATTAAAAAGAAGTAAAAAAAAAAAAATTACAAACTCAGAAACAGAAATAAAACAAAACATTTCTGGGAATAAATAAACAAAGGAAAAAAATTAAATAAACTGTCTCTTGGAGAAGAAAAAAAAAAAAAAAAAAAAATGAGTTCTACAAGTCTTTGGTTTCGTACTGAGATCAGCTGACGGAAGCGAGCTAGTATACAAACCTTGGCCGGGAACTTAACGTAAATAAGATAAGAAGCAAGGGAATTAACAGCCACATGGGCTATCCAACGAGCACTAATTTATCACTTCATTGTTAATAAATTGTAACTCACCTCTTTATCCGTGAACTTAAAAATGTTCAACTGTTTATAATGTCACTGTTAATCAATTATTAACACAGAGTTTTGACTAATAAGCACATAGCAAAGTAATAATCACAGAGCGAACTGAAAACTAAACTGCAGTAGCGGCCATGACACTTACTCTTTTTTAATAATTCTAAGTCTGATATTATATTTAAATAATCAGGTATATATAGTCCGTTTATTCCGAAAAATCATCATGTAAACTTTAAAAAAATTAAATTAGCGAATAATTCATCAAATTATTCCTTTGTGATACCCCAACAGTATCCACTTAACAATTAATGTGACAACGTTTGACCTTTCTATGACAGACAATGCAAATCTTGTAATTCCGTTAGTGAACTTTGCAATGGAAAAAAACAGTTTAATAATTAATAGTCGTACAAACCATAATCAGATGTCGATATAATACTGATAAGTAGGATTTTTGTTATTTTAATGGCATTAATGATTTGTTAGGTGTAAGCATTAAGCTTTAGCTCGGTTAAAAATGCAATTCAAAAATTTTATAATAACCCAAAATTGCAAGAAAATAATTTATATTAAATTAACGCGGTTATACAAGAATACAAGATTTTTTTATGTTGTTTTTATACCAATTTTTTTAAAATTTTTACCACATGATTGCTAGGTGCTTTTCAATCGTCCTTACAAAGATGTCTGATGATCTAAAAGTGATTTAGACTAAATCCTCCTTACGGTCGCACCTATTGTTAGTAAGATGTTTTGATTGGGGGAAATGAATTCGACTATTATTATTTATATATTTTTTTTTCATAATCAAGATATTATGTAATTTCAACGATTCAGTTGTCTCTACGTTAGGAAACTCATACTGGCCTATGAATAGAAGATTTCGTTACAGTTATACATGTGTAATAGGAACAGACTGTACACTGACGTTGTGTACAGAATACCTGACCTTGGCAGTAGCTGGTAGCTTATCAGTGGCGTGGCCTAGTGCTGATAAGATAAGGAGGGCTGGCACCATGCAGTCTGGTCATCTGGCCTGGACTATCTCTGCTCCAGCTGTCCTCTCTATGCACTTGTCCACTCCAGAGCCTCTCCACAACATTCTTAGGTTCAGGAAACATAGACAAATATTTTGGAAGACAGTCATGGAAATACTTCTTGTTTATTAAGAGGTTCTAATCACTGTTATGGGTTTATTAACCTTTTTCTCCCGTATTGATCGAGTAAAACTATGTTTTCATAAACTATGAAGTTATGTCCTTAAATTGTGGTGTATGAATTTTTAAATGAAACAGATAAGATTGAATAAAATGCTTTTATCGGATTTTATTTAATTGTTGATTTAGCTCTTAAAATTAAAAATACATAGGTGTTAATAAAAATGTCTGCTGTAAAAAAAATATTAACAACCTATATTTACCAACCTTCTATGAAACTGGGGTAGTGTAAAAAATATATAATAGAATAGAATAGAAAATAATTTTATTCAGAATAACAAAAAAGTACAGAAATTAAAATGTTATATCTGGCCAAATAAAAACAAACATAAAAAGTAAAGATAAAGATAAATCAGTAAAAAGAAAATATTAGTTATACATACTATATACAAAATAAAATAAAAAAATCTATATACAAAACTCTTGAAACCATACCAAGATACTTAAAACTATGTACAATGGTAAAATATAAATAAACCCTTTCAGAAAAAATACAGAAAAAAATAAATGTAAATTCTTCTTAACAGTAAAATCTGTGTTTCTGTTGAAAAAAAAAAAAGTCGAATCTATAATAAGTATTTATGTTAAGTTATGAGCTATATGTGATATATTATTATAAATAATATGTAATTTTACATAAAAAGTTAGCTGGTATCTGACTGTTTTTGGGACAGGAATTGGAATAGGAGGGTTTTATTTTATTTTTTTATTATTATTATTTTTTTTTTTTTTTTGTACCAATCATCCAAATAGTATTAAATGATGTTATTTAGTTGATCGGGCGCTTATGACCTGGACGTTTTGCGCCTAGACATCGAAACAAACAAACAAACAGGAGGGTTTTGAATGTAGATAGGGATGAAGAATGTCGAATTTTGATAGGAACGGAATTCCAAAAATTAACAGAGCAATATAAGTTTATAAGTTCGATAGATAAATTTGAGTAATTTAATTTTTTTTAAAGAATTATATATTTAGATTATTTAATAGATAGATTTTCATCATCGAGTTTAGAAATTTGTTTTAAGTATACGCTTTTGTAATTTGTCAATCGCGATCCACTTTTCAATAAAAAAATATATGTATTAAATAATAAATGTTTATTAAAATTAATAATTTTTGCTTCCTCACTACCGAAGGTAGGTAGAGGAGCTTTGGATTCGTGCGGGAGATTTAAAAAAATTATGAGCTCAAAATAGAAAAATTCCACTCGCGTTTTATGTTTCAGATATCAAGGATCAAATTTGGTTCGGCGTCTGTCTGTAGTCAAATCAATGTAACAGGCATATCATCTACTACCGTTTATCCGATTTTCATGAAATTTTCAGGGAATAGGGGGATTGGTGTCTAGATGGTGCCATAACACATCCGCTTACTTTTCAGTGATTTTGTGATTGAAATTTAAATGGCCCCATTGTAGATTTTTCAAAATCTCTTCACCAGCTGTTGCACAGGCATGCGATTTTCCTTTACTATAAGTGCCGTATATTTGTAAAATTAAATTAAATTTTGCTCAGACTTTAAAAAAGAACGTCATATTTGTGAGTTGGTTCCTTTTGAAGTTCAACCAAGTGGTTCTGTTCTCGATTTCCCTCTCAAACTTCAAAGTGGTAAGGGGCTCTATTCCGAACCTTTTTTGTGCTAGATATAATTAAAGGATAGGATGTCAGCATCGATAAGTTTTAAATATGCATACGCCTTCATTTCCTGTATTTTATCAACTTCATTAATATTCTTATATTTCTTCTTGAATTAATTTTGTTCCAACTGTCGGAAAATGTCAGTGAATTTGGTGAGGAAGCTGTACTGACATTACTTGGCAGACATTTTTTTTAGAGTCCAATCAATTTTCTATAGACGTTGATCAACATTTGTCTGACATACGTAGTTCTTAGTGAAGCTTTCATGTATTTAACAAACCTATCTCTCGTACAGAAAAAAAAAACAAAAAAAAAAAAAAAAATCCGAAGAACAATAGTTGTCCAAGACAAAAACTCACTTTCTTGGCGGCGACGATTTCTGGGAATCGCATCTTCTTTGCATAATGTCTTCCTAGAAACTCCGCTGAAGGAAAACTGAGAGACAGATCTATGTCCCAATCTCGGATGCAAATGATGGATATCATGGATGTTAAGGTTCACACATGCCTCCGTTTGAAAATTATTTTCATGTAATTCTTTTCAGAAACCGTGATGAAACATAAATACCATATTTGAGACAGTTAAATTTTATTCGATGTTATTAGGTATTAAAATAAATGCTATTTTCGAATCTTATTGAAAGTTTGCCGACTATTTTGATATGCTAATCGTATTATATTAATGATGAATAATAATTTATTAGTTTATAATCTTAATTTGTTTAATGATATTTTAATATTTGATTTATTCCTTTAGTTTAGTTTAGCATTTACCAAATTAAGTTTTATTTTTGTATTCAATAATTTCATCCACCAATCATTCGAAAAAGATACCAGTTTAATTATACTTTTTTTCTAAGTGATAATTGTACCTTTACGGTAATTCCATATTAAATCATTCTATGAAAAAGAAAATTTACACACACGTGTTCGATGGATATGATTTTCGCCATATCATTTATATGAAAAAGACATGTTTACATTCCCATAACTTAAAAAGTATACAATTTAAAGTTGGTCATACACATAATAATTTTAAAGATTTCAAAATCCCTTGCACAATGAAAAAAATACTTCATAAAAATCGAATCATTATAGGATCTATCCATTTGAAATCACCCAGACATTTTTAATTTTTATATTTTTATTCCCAATTATTTCCTAGTTAAAAAGTTTTAAGGCTCACAGTATTTTCTCGAATGCCATTTTGAATTTGCTTTTAGACTGAAAACATTTTGGGGCATTGTCTGTAAATCTGGCGGTTTTGTAGATATCAAACCGAAATAAAAACTGGAATAATGAGTATTTTTTCTACAACTCTGTTCATCAATACATAACCCAAAAATTGAGGTGAGTGGTTTAAAAAAATCATGAAAGTTGTCAAAAATAAAACTTTTAGCGCCTTAAAACTGTGATAATGAAAAGAGACTCACCTATGATATTTTATTGTTCTATAGTTCCATATGTTGATGATATTTCAATTTTAACATCGTTGTCCTTTTTCTTTTATTTTTTTCTATTTTCACAAATATCCAACATGAGTTAATAAATTTACATTTCAATTTTATTTACTCGTATTCTCATTATTTCCCCAATTTGAAATTAGGAATGAATCTGTCCAATACTTGCCTGAATAACATTATTTAAATCTAAGATTATATGCTTTGATATTTTTACTATTGAAAATCAAGTAAAACAAATTCATAATGAGTGTGCTATGGTACATACCAATTGAAAATCCATGTGCTATTAAACATACCTCTAGTACTGCCGGTTGTAAATTTACGAGAATTTCCGTTATTAAAAATAAGGTGTTTTATTTTCTCTGATAGACCCATAAAGTAAGTTCATCTATTAGGATCAGTTGGGAAAAGATTCGTGTTGCCCGATAACCTGATAACCGTTATAGATGATAAATAAAATAATTACAAGTTTCCGTCCCGGTGCCGGGCTGGCAATAATTCCCCATCCTCACCCTCTGCCCCGGAAAAAAAAACCTGTATAGCCTAAAATGCGAGAAAGGTGAGAACCAACAAAAAAAAAAGTAGCAAAAAGATTATGAAAATGAAAAAAAAAATTGCCCATAAATAAAAAGTAACAATTCAAAAATACCAATCAATTCCTGTAATAGAGATCTTGATAAATATGATTAACATTAAAACTTTAGATAATAAATATTTGGAAAATCATTATTTTTAACTTTTAACTATCTTCTTATTTTTCTTTTTTTAGGAAGCCTACGTTTATACATTTTTCCAAAGTTAGGGCAAAAAATACTTCCATTTTTCTTCAGTCCTTTTAATTACATCTGTTATATCTTACGTTTCGGAACAATTTTCCCATCATCAGAGTATTCTTGTATTTACTGAAATTATTTAAATCTCTCATAAATTTACATTTGAAATGAACTATTTTTACATTATTAATCTACTCCGTCTATTTCATAAAAGGACCCAAGAAAAATATTTTTTTATCTTAACCTTGGAAAAATTATTTTAAACTTTTTTTTAAATAAACAAAAAGTTTAAGGTAAAGAACATCAAGTCCATTTTTGTATTTGTTGAAGGAAGCCAATATTTCATATCTGTGAACTATTAAAATTTGTTTCTTAGTTACTAAATCTGTAATCCAGAGGTGTAGGTCACCATGTCACATTTTTATATTTGTCCTGGAAGCCAAATGTTCATAACTTTGAGCTATTTATATAAAATATGATAATGTACTTGTGCTGTTCACCCAAATATCTGTTTTAGGAATTGATCCGTATTTACAAATGACCGACTAAATGTTTCCAATTCTAATATTTATGTTTTCATGCAAATAATTCAACCAACCAGCAGTTTCTCTATTTTAAACGTAAGCAAGATAAGCAATTATTGCCGTGAGCAAATGCCTATGTAGGTTTTAGATGTTCATAGTGGCATTCATTCTTTTACATTTAATAGCCATTTGCTCCTGGAATTTAATCAGCACTGTCTGGAGCCAACTATTTCGTGGATGACCTCCATGGCGTTATGGCAGGCCGAAGTGACGCCCTGGGAACCGGGCGAAGGAACATTATCTCGTGATCAGTTATCCATGAGGAGTGAATACTGAAGAAGTGGAGGATCACTTTGCACTAGAGTTGGCATTCTCGGCTGACCCTCGGGGAAAGGCTGGGAGGAATACTAAGCAGACCGAGAACAATCTCTTCACACACAAACACGTTCAGGGCTGTTCGCTCATCAGCCTATGTTCGATTGACAAACATCGGTGACCTCTACTACTTCGTTTCTATGTTCTTTGTTACATCAAGCACTGCTTTAACGACTGATGGTGAACAGGCTTTCTTTACATTAATCTATTTTTTCCAAGTTAGCCAAAATTACGTTACTATATATTATCTGAGCCAAATATTTATAACAACAATAATTTGTTTCTTCAACATACCTTCTACTACCACTCAACATTATTTTATCTAGTTTCTTTCTTTTCCTTCCAGAGCAATTTACAAATTTAAAAAAAGAGAGAGAAACAAAAGCCTCCCTTAAGGAAATTCTGATTCCATTAAAGGCTCGAGTGTAAACACACTTAAATACTGTTAACTCCGTTATTATTTCCTTGTTTTAAAAAAAATATATAATTATGTTTAATTTTGTTAAACATTAAAAAAAAATAAACGTAATTGAACCTATTTTTTTAACAGTGAATAAAAACGGAGTTAGTAGTGTTTACCTAACTCAAATCTGCAGTGGAATCATAATTTCTGTAAGATGGGCTTTTGTTTCTTTCTTTTAGTTTTTAATATCGGAAATCGCTCTGATAGGAGAAGAAAGAAACTACATAAAATTATGTTGATTGGTCCTAGAAGGTATGTTGAAGAAAAAAAAATATGATTATTATAAATATTTGGCTGAGACCACATGTAGTAACAAATATAGACCAATTAAAAATGAATATTTCTTTGATTCATTTGATATTACTTATTAGGTGTACTAAATTTCTATCCCATAAAAATTAAGTTTCTTTGTTTTTCTTTTATAATACTAGTAGGTATCACCTATCCGCCTAACGGCGGACCAGTTCCCATTTTACAAATTATACAACTATTCATTTAATTGTACTTCTCAATGTTCAAATTGTATAACTGTATTTTACATGTATTCCGTGTAGTCAAAAATCTGTTTTGGTCTGGCACTTTGCAAGATCAAGACCAAGGCCGCCTAACTGTTACAAGACTAAGACCAGGACTGATAAAAAAATCAATTTTTTAAATAAATATTAAGTCAAAATCGTTACTATTTCTTGACAATCTTAGTTACTATATGTAAATAATTGGTATAACTACTTATCATATTTAACTTCTCTATTTTTTCATTCGGGCTTAGTTAGGTTTCTCCTATCTAAAAAAAAATGCAGTAATATCTCTATAATAATAAGCTAATAAGTAACTGCAAGACAGTTGCGAGACTCATGCGCAAGACCAAGACCATGACCAAAACTGAGTTTACAATACCTAGATTCGTCTCGGTCTCGCATTTGGGCTACACTAGAACTACATTCGGACAAATTATTTACTTCCTTTAAAAATGTATGTTCTATCTCACACCTTATTGCCAATTTATATTATTATATAATTATAATTATTCTTATAACTAATTTGTAACCATGATATATATTCAACTTGTTCAACTTCATATAAGCCCAACATCAATTTTAGCCTTTCATTGTACGTTGTGTCGTACTTCCTTTTCCATTTCATAATAATTATGAATAAATCACGATGTAAATATAAATAATATAGTATATAATATAATAATTAATATATTGTATTAAAGCGGAAAATGCCTAGATCGAAAAATGAGTGCTGTCACCAAGGTACAATCAAACACACTTTTAAAATCTTAAAATCCGTATACATTTTTAAGTAAAATCTATATTTTGTATTAGAAAAGTAGGGGATTATAGGAGCTCAACACACATGTAATTAAATGAACAGCTGTAGTAATTTGTGTTAATTATTGAGCTAAGAGAAGAGCTCCTGCAATCCTCCTAATCTCCTAATTCTTTTTTATTAATTTATTTATGAAATTTACAACTGTATTAAGAAAAAATGTGATAACAGAAAATAATAACATGAAAACACTCGTTAAGTAACTACCCACTGGTAGCACTCTAAAAAAAAAGAAGATGTATTTACAATAGAAGATCTCGACGCCATCTTCTTTTCAGACGCCTCGGAGCTATCAGAGATCGAATGGGAAGCAAGGTTAGAATGGATGGTTCTTAAGTTTATTATGGAAGGATCTGGATTGGGCCAAATCGGAAATTATCGGTCTTCTTAATACTAAAATATAATAAAATATGAAAGTCACTAAATAAAATTATTTTGTGGGAGAGCTTTGGTTAGACCTCCTCCCTTGTGGATCTTCCAGTGCTACTTCACATCAACTGGTTTGTTGCTTCTTTTCTACATTCCCTTAGCTTAGTTTTCTAGAAAGTTAAATAACCCTTTATTAATTCTCTCAGTAGATTTACATAATCCTGGCCGTTGGCAGACAAAAGGCTGCAATGGATTCCAAGACGAGAAGGTGGCTAATCTGATTAGTGATTCCATAATCTTGGATTTTCTCCATGTAGCCTCGCAGGATTCTGTTTCATCTTCTCGGCTGAATTTTAAATACATTGTTAAGCTTTTGTTGTAATTCATGAACTGCATTTAGGGTCGTTTGTAATCAGTTATGCAGCAGGCGGCTCAAATACCTTCGGGGAATCAATTTGCACTTAATATCTTAAAGCTGTATTGAATAATCTTGTTCCGATTTCGACCTCAGTATTTGCTTCATGTTCAATGCTCTTCCTCCGTTCGGGGTAGAATTAATTTATATGAATCTATTGAATTTTTTTTTTCTCTAATGTTTCATACATGACAAGCATTTGATAAGAAAAGAAGCATCTAGAAACTAAAAAAATATTATTGATGCATATTTAAAAAAATATTTATTAGTTCATGGCTTAATAAAAAACATTGCTCCTATAATATTAACTTTATGAGGAAGTAGAAATTTTTCGCGAATACATTTTAATTCTTTAATCTCAAGTCTAAATACTTTAGTCTCAATAAGTGTAAGAATATTTATTCTTATGAAAAACGCTGATTATTATTTCACGATGGTTTTTTATTTCCAAACAATTATACGTCTAAAGTAACATTACCTTCCTAGTTACAACGAAAAAGAAATAAAAGGTGATTCCATTTATTGGTCTAAACTTTTTTTTTTAATCATTAGTAATATGCTAAATAAATTAGCATTACTTCAGTAAAACATTCAAAAAACTAAAACGAAGGAAATAGTCTTGTAATATAACATATAAAAAACATACTAGAGATCATATCTTTGCTCATAATTATTGATTTTTTTTTTTTTTTTTTTTAGGAAATTTCGTAAACTTTTAAATAACCAATACAATATCAACGGTGTATACTTATATCTAAAGTGTATACTTTGTAAGTTATTCGGAATAAAATTTTACCACTCCTCTTAATTTTTTTCCATCTTCTTTATGTTGAAGTATGTTATATAGATAAATTTAAAGGGCACCGAGAACACTTTAGCCAAGTTTCATTGAATTTGGTACATTCGCTTAGGCGCTACAGTCAATAGCAACTAGTTTTGTCCAAAATTGCTGTTGCACTTTACAAGACCAAGACCAAGGCTGCCCAACTGTTGCAAGACCAAGACCAGGACTGATAAAAAAAAAATGGATTTTTTTAATAAACATTAAGACATACTAGTCACTAATACTTGACAATCTTAGTTACTATATGTTAATAATTGGTGTAGCCAATATATTTTTGCATTTAATTTCTCTAATTTTTCATTCGGGCTTAGTTAGGTTTCTCCTATCTAAAAAAAATATAGTAATAAGCTAATAAGTAACTACAAGACTGTGCAAGACTCGTCTTGGTCTTGCATTTGGGCAACACTAATAGCAACGCAGGTTTTTCGGCCGCCATCTTGGAAGGAATAGGCGGATGGTAATGTCGTTGAAGGAGGATCATCCTCGGGTGAGCTCTAACTTTAAATCCAAATTTGAAAAAAAATCGGTAAAATGCGCGTACGGCGAACGGACAAAAAATATGTATTCGTATTTCGAATTCTACGAATCCTGAAACGTAAACCTCAAATTTTGAGTGGGGGTTAAGTTTTTGAATTTTTTGTTCGATTACAATGGTCCATTATTAAAAATAATAAACCAAAATGACTTGCTTAAAAAAAAACCCAAAATTTTATAATTTCCCTTCTGGAACTTGGCTGATTATTTATATGAACTTTTTTTCAGCTCTTAAAGTCTGCCCTCACTCCTATAAACATTTCCCTCTACTTACGGAACACTCTGTGTAGTAGGGATTTCCATAATGACAAGTATCCAATGGCAACCAAAGCGTATGACTTTTAAGTTGCTGAAGGAATTTAAAGATCGAAATTTAGATTCAGTATCTAACTATGATGTTCCCTTTCGTTTGAAACCTCATTCAACAAAACCTATTAATCCTGAGAGCCGAAAATGGGATCTACACCACCATATACCTAATTCTAATATATACTTAATGAATAAGTAATAATCGAGCCAGCAGTTGTTAAAAATATTAATATATGCCAAGTCTCTTGTCAATTTAGACTTAGATTTTCTATTTTGATGGAGGTTGCTAAGTTGTTATTGTGGGGAGAGAGGAGATGCAGGTCGTGTAGCTACTGCAACAGAAAATTGGGTGATTGGCCTGATCCAGTCACGGTGGATCTGCTGAGTCACGGGTCTGTGTCCTCCCATGTCCGCTCTTAATGGGCACCGCAAGCATCTTCTTATAGCCCCATCCTATTGTAAATGATCGCTTCTTAGATCCCTTTCCTACGTCCTGTCGCTTATCTAACCAAAATAAAGTATCGATACTTCCATTTATCCCTCTGTTCCTCGCATCAATTTGAACAACTCATATTCTCTACAGATAAGCCGGCTCGAAACTTCTTGATGAGACATTATTCGTGATAAAATTTATATTATCATATTGTATTTATAAATAGAATTTATAATATTTATCATTTATTATAAGTATG